TGCAGGTGGCCCTCCTGGCAGGCCAGGTAGAGCGGGGAGGCCCCACTGCGCGTCCGCCGGTTCACGCCGCTGTGGGGGAAGGTGAGGTTCAGAGGGTGTTTGGTGGGGGTTGCAGGAGGCAGGGGCTGCCCCAACCACAGGCCCAGATCAAGGGGACGGGAGGCCCAGCCCTTGGCCAGTCTGTTTGTGCCCAGCCCCCCTTACTGGCTGAGGGCCCCCCTACAGCTGGTCACCTGTAGGACTGTACAGGTTGTGCACTGCTCAAGGGCACCAGCAGCGCCCCCCACACCCCATAACCCCCTTGCCCCCGACCACTGGGATCCTGGAATCCAGCTCTGCACACTCCCCATCAAGCTGTTCAGCTGTTCACGGTGCTGGGGCTTGCCGGTGGGTGAACGGCCTAGGGGAGCCGGCAGCGGGCAGGTCATTGAGCCTCCAGAGCCCAGGGCCTGCTCTGCAAGAAAGGGCATTGTGAGCAGTGCCCAGGCCTGGCATCCGAATTCCAGGCTCCAGCATGGACGGACTGGAGGAGGGTCATGGGAGTCCCCCGATCCCGCTCTGCCTGAGCCGCCGTGGGGCCAGGTGAGTTCTTGGTCCCCAGTGGAATGCTGCAGGGAGGGACAGTCCCCTACCCAAGGCCGACCCCAGCCCCCGGTGGCGCAGGCTTCACCCCGTGGTCAGTGCCAGGTGGGGTGGGGGCGCTAGGGCCTGAGACACCGCAGGCACACTTGTGTGTTTTAATGCGAAGTCTCCAGGTTTTACATGGTAAAAACTACTTTAAAAAAACGGAGTCTAACGGACCCTCTGTGGCTGGCCAGGCCCAGGGCGCCCACAGGGTCCGTAGAAGCGAGTCCTAGGACCTTCGCCAAGGGGGTGGGATGAGAAGACCAAGGAATAGCTGAGCTCTCGGGCCTTGAGGAGAAGCCGGTGTGGGGCAGCCGGAAGAGCCCGCCCTGCAGCCAAACCCCCAGAGGGAGAAGAGGCACGGCTGGAGGCAGGTGGGTTGCGGGGGGAGGCTAGGTCAGGTGTGGGCTGGACACTGAGTCCCACACCCAGCTGGGCCCGCAGCCCTGGGAACGGGGGCGGGGAGGCCATGTGCATGACACCCCCGGACGGCCCTGCACGGTGCCCACGGCATCCTCTGTGTGGGCCAAGGACTGGACAGGCTCTCAGGAGGAGGAAGGGGAGACCGGCTGGCCCCCACCTCGGCTGGGCCCCTCCCATCCCTGCCACTCCCAGTTTGCCCAGCACCAACTCTGGGCAGCGGGCACAGGGCCACCAGCATGAGACTGGCCGCCCTGGAGGGGTGTCCAGTGCAGCGGAGGGGACAGTGTGGCAGGGCAACCCGGGGTGTGCCCGTACCCCCCCCCCCCCCCCCCCCCCCGTAGGCCTCCGCTCTTCGCAGGAGACTGGAGGGGGCCCACCTTCCCCGCTGCGGGAGCGTGCGTCCTGACACGCCCCCGGACTGACCGAAAGCAGTCGCAGAGGTTCCTGGCCCCGCCCCCCGCGCCGCCAGGACGAGCCTGGGTCCGGCCCGGCACGGCCCTCGGCCGGCAGGGTCAAGGTCCTTGCCCCGCTCCGAGTCTCGTCGGCCCTCTGCCGCCGCCCTGGCCCCACACTGGACCCTCCCTGTTCCCCCCCGGGGCCTGCCCTGCAGGGCCCGCGTCCCCAGCCACCAGCCCTGTCCCCCTCTCTACCCTCGGCGCCGCCTGCCCGGCGGCCGGCTCTCGCGGAAGGCCGACAGGGGGCGCTCTGGCTCCTCACCTGCCGTGGGCCGCCGCCAGGAGCTTCAGGCAGGTCAGGTCGCCGCTGACGGCGGCGTGGTGCAGGGGCAGGGCCCCCTCCAGGGTCTCCAGGGCGGCCGCGTGGCCCTCCCGAAGCAGCCACTGCACCAGCAGAGGGTGCCCGAAGCGGGCGGCCAGGTGCAGCGGGGAGACGCCCGAGTCATCTTGGTCCTACGGGGCACAGAAGGGCAGGGAGCCTGTGACAGGCCCGACCCGGCCCCGGCTGGGCAGTCCCAGGGCCCAGGAGCCTGCCGCCCAGCCCGCCCTGCCGGCCTGCCCGGAGGGGGTCTGCTCTTCCCACTCTGCCGCCTGAGCCTGGTGGCCTGCTCGGGGGAGGAGGCAGGGCGGGAACACAAACTCAGGTCTTCCGGGTCCAAACCCGTGATCCCGCTGCGCCCGGGCCCCTCTGTCCACGGCAGTCATGGCCCTTTCCTGCACTCGGCTCACAGCAGGAAGGGCTTCCACGGGCACAACCTTGCCCGTGTCAGGCTCTGTGGCCTGTTGCCGGTCCCAGGGCCCTGCCTCTGGGCCTCTGGCCCCTACCTACCCCAGCTGAGCACCCACCCGCCAGCCACGATCCTCACAGCCGGAAGCACTCCCACGGCAAGCAGCTGGCAGGCCCGGGCATGCTCCCAGGCACGGCAATGGGCACCGCTCCCCCTCCCCTGCTGCCGCTCGGGTTGCGGGAAGAGCTGAAGGGGCCGGGGTCTTCCCTGTCCGGGACCCGGTGCCACTTCTTGGAGGGTGCCCTTCTATGCCCTGTCGGAGCTTGCCCACTGTCCCAGGTCCTCCACCTGGACAAAGGGACACCAGGCAGGCAGGAAAAGGGGGAGGCCACTGCTGGAAAGGCCACTGAGCCCTGGAGACCCTCCTTCTTCCCAACGCTCCCCCTACAGCAGGGGTGCTGTCACCTGCCGAGGCCTCCAGTCGTTCAAGCAGGGCCCACAGCTCCTGAGCCCGCGTGCCCACCGTGCTCCTCTACAGACCCGTCTGGACCCTTTGGGAAGCAGGCCCCCTGGATCCAGCCTGATGGGAACACGGCGGCCCCCCCACCGTGGCGAGGCCAGGCGCTCCGATGCGGAGAGGGCACAGGGAGAGCACCTGGTTGCTCTGTGCCTGCCCCGGGGAACACGCGGTGGGAGGCGGCCCAGGCTTAACGAGGGCCCGGTGCTGGTTTGGGGTGAGGCGGACCTGCCTGTGCTGTGCGGCTTGTACGGCGAGTCCGGGACAGAAGCCAGAGCTGTGGTGCTCAGGACGTCCTGGCTCACAGCTCCTGCTCCCCCAGTCTGCAGGGACGCGGGCCGCACCTCAACGGCTCTCCCCACTCACCTGCAGCCCACAGCCCCCGTCACGCACCAGCCAGCACAGCTCGGCCAGGCTGCCCGTGGCAGCGGCGTCGTGCACCGGGGTGGCCCCGTTGTGGGCCCGCTGGTTGCCGGGCAGCTCGGCCTGCTGCACCAGGAACTTGACACAGGCCAGGTGGCCGGCCCGGGTGGCGTGGTGCACCAGGCCAGCCCCCAGGGCGTCGACGATGCCCGGGCCCAGGGCCCCGGCCTCCAGCAGCTGCTTCAGGGTGGCCAGGTCCCCATCCTTGGCGGCCGTGAGCGCCCGCTGCTCCTCCATCCTCCAGCCCAGCCCAGCCACTCGGGGGCTCTCAGCGGCTCACGCACAGGCCCGGGCTTCCTGTTTCAGGCGTGGACGAAGCTCCCAGCTCTGGTTACCCGATAAGCGGTGCACGGGGCAGATGGGAGGCGGCGGGTGGGGGGCGGGGGGATGGGGCAGGCGGGCCTCGGGAGACTGGGCCTCGCAGCCCTACCCCAGCACGCCCGCCCGCGGTGGCCAGAGCTGCGGCTGGCGCTGGGGGAAGGGTCTGCACTGGGGTCAGGTCAGGGGTGGGTGCTAGCTGGCAGATGCTGTCCTGTGACTGGCCCGGGCTCTTCCTCTTTCGGAGCAGGCACTGAGGAGATGCGCCGTGTCTCTCATCCTGAGAAGGACTTCCCGCAGCTAGTGGGTGTTTACGTTTCCCAGGGTCCTTCCAGGAAGGCAGTAGGCTCCCCAGCATCTGCTTCCTCTCGTCTGGGCTGTAGCCCGGAGGCTGTGCTGGCCCGGAGGCAGGCCACCTGAGAGACTCCTCTTACGGGAGGGCAGACCCGTCCACAGGAGGGCCCTCTCTGGGGAACTTAGGGCCACGCGTGCTGGAGTTCGGCTAGGTCTTCACCCACGGAGCCAAGGGCCCACCTGCCCCCTGGGGGATCTATGCGAGATCCTGGCCCTGCACTGGCCTGGGAGGCTCCATAAACCTCTGGGGAGCAGCAGCTCGTCAGAGCCAGCCATGGGCCCAGGGCCCTAACCCCGGACAGGAAGGCCTCCGAGGCGAGTGAGGGTCTCTGGGGCTGTGGCTGAAGGTCAAGGGGGTTTCTTGAGGGCTGCCGCACTTCTTGCCCAGACTCTTCTCTTCAGTGGAGCTGACACCCATGGGGCTTTTTCCTGGGCCAACTGGGATCAGTGTGGCCTCTGCCTGGAGGCAGCGGGACGCTACTTTAGTGACCCACTTTCTAGGGACTCGCAGAGACAGTCTCAAGCTGAATTTCCTAAGCTGAAGCCTAATCGTACAGCGATAAATTGGGGTCACCACACACCCCTCCAACACCAGCTCTGCAGCCGGCTCCGACACATCGGTGACCCCTGGAGAAACCATAAATGTCTAATAGCAGCATTGGAATATTTTATTCACTTAATTTCTGACAATAGTTTCTCCAATGTCATCATGTAGTTCTTTGCACCTTAAAACCACATGTTAAAAGTGTATTAAGAAATCACTGCTATGTGAAGTAGCTCTGTAAAGTCACGCTGTCCGGGGTGTATCAGGATGTCACCGAGCAGGGTAAGGGTAGCAGAATCCGTCTGGGAAGAACATCATCATGCCAGCGGAGCTAGGGATGAACTCATTTCCCACCGCAGGAACGAGCCGGGGTCACATAAGCCTGGCCGCCCCCCGACTCCCATGTCTGCACTGGAACCCTGAGTAAATGACCACAGGGAAAAGGCCGGCGGGGCCTGGTGGCTCTGGGTGGCCAGCAGGCTGAGTGCGGAGGTCAGGCGGGGCGGGGAAGTGGGGGGACACAGCAGGAAGCGGGGCCTGACCTCGGAAGGGCTTGGGAAGGGCAGAGAGCAAGATGGGAGAACACGGGCGGACGGACCTCGGTGACTGCAGCAAGAATCAGGTTTCCTGTGTTCATGGTGGCGACGGACAAGGTTTGTGAGTACTAGGATGTTACCTTCTGGGTAAAAGTGCCACCTTCCAGGGAGGCGGCACTCACAACAGGCTCACCCCAGTTCCCAGAGGGGAGCACTGACACAGCTGCAATGTTTCCACTTCAACCTGCGCCATGGGGCGGTGGGGACAGTCCTACACAGGTTTGTGTCCTGGGCCTAGAAGCACCCGTGGGGTCTGCCTGCCCGACAGACCGGCTCTCCACTGACCCGAGGACAGGGGAGGGGGCCCGGAGCACGTGTGCACGCACACACCCACTGACCCGTCTCTGCGTCAGACACTCTGGGACAAAACTTAAGACTGGGACAAATCAGGAGAGCCATTCTGGCACGGCCCTCGGGAGGGCTTCCTATGAGGCACCCTGGGCACTAGGCCTGACCCTCCAGCTGGGCCACGGCCTGCTTCAGGTCCTGCACGATGAGGTCCACCTCGGCCCTGGTGGTGCTGCGGCCCACGCTGAGCCGGAGTGCGTTCCTGGCCACGTCGAAGGGAATGCCACAGCTCAGCAGCACCGGGGATGGCCTGGGAGGGTGGGGGCGAGGAGAGCCTGTGTCAGCTGTCAGAGGGGAAAGGCTCTCTGTGCTCCCCAGGGCTCGGGGAAGGGACCCTGCCCCTCCTGCCCTCCACCAGCTCCCCAGGATGGGGCTGTGTAGACCCATCTCCCCTCTCTGCCAAACACCCCTAGGCCCCCGGCCTCCGGGTCCACGGTCTCGTGCTCGGACTCTTGCACGGTACTGCGGCCTCGCCCGGCACGGCCCCTCTGCCCCCAGGAGTGCTGTGTCCGGTGAGGCCGAGCCCCGCCTTCCAGGGCTTCCGACCCTCAAGGAGTGGGGCCGGGTCTCGGAGGAGATGCGGGGCTCTGCACACCCCGGGGCCAGTGTTCGGGGCAGCTCTGGCGCCCTCCCACCCCCAGCAGGGTGCGCGGTTCAAGGGCCCGTGGGCGCCCACATACACAGGCCCGGGGGTGGAAACAGCACGGCAAAGGTCTCTGTCACATTGCAGAGCCCCTGAAAGCCGTCCACAGGGCTAGGTGGGAGCAGGGACTTCCCTCGCTGTGGTTCCCGAGGGTCTGTGCCAGAGGCCCCTGCAGCACAGGGGAGAGAGAGGGGACAGTGCCCACAGCTCTTGGTCCCCTGCCCTCCCCTGCGTGGTGGTCTCACTGCCTATTCCAGAGGGCACCCCCACTTTCCACAAGAGCCCCCTGAGCGTCTGCCTCTACCCCTTTCCCCTCCCGCCCTTGCAGGGGCCACATGGACACCCACCCCCTCCCAGCTGCGTCCCTGGGCACAGCTCCTCAGGGCCCTCCTCCCCGCCCCCTCATCTTGTGCCTGGTGAGACTACAGACTGCACCTGCCTCAGCTTCCCCGTCTGGGAAATGGGCCACTCGGACCCTTTCTGGAGGGCTGTGGGGAGCCTTCCGGGAGCAGCGGCCCACCTGAGCGCCCTCCTCCTGCAGTCACCTCACTGCGGCAGCCCCTCGGGCTGCCACACGCCGGCTCCTGGCCTCACGCACCCTCGTGCAGCCCTCCCTGGCACAGCTCTCAGCCCTGAGGAGGCCCCGTCATCCCCACCCGGCCCTCGGCCCTCGGGAGCCCCCTAGCCTGAGGTGCTCACACACCACGGCACCGGCCCCAGACTCCCGGACGGCCTGCTTCTGACCATGGCTCGGCTCTTTCTGGGGCCCCGGCTGCCTCATCTGGGACTGCACCCACCTCTGCAGGCCCCCCACTCACGGCAAGTGGGAAACCGAAGCCCTGCTCTTCCTGCACCGGGGTCGGGCCAGTCTCGGATGCCCGGGCCCCACACCCTCCCCTCCTGCCTCGGCCACGGCCATCCTCCTGCACCCGGGCAGGGGCCACCCGGAACCAACCTGGCCTGTCACAACCTTCCGAAGCCCCTCCCTTTCCGAGGACAGAGGGAGCTCCTGCAGCCTGCCCTGCCCCTCCCCGCCCGCCCCCCTTTAGGCTGCGGCTTCCCCTCCTCCCCTGGGCCCTGCGACGTCTGGTCGCGCTTTTGTGTCCCCGCCGGGCCGCGCAGCTCCGGAGGCCCCAGGCCCAGCGCGGCCCGGCGTGCGCAGCACTCACCGATCCGCGTGGTCCGAGTGGCACGCAGCCCCCACGCTAGCCAGCAGCGCCCTGCACCGCGCCAGCACCGCGTGGCCTGGGGAGACAGGGCACGAGGCTGAGGCGGGGAGCGCGGGCGGGGCCCCAGCTGCCCGGCTCTCCTCTTCCCCCCGCAAGTTTAGAGGCCCCCTCCCTCGTGCCCCAGGGCTCGGGCCCCTCTCATCCCAGGGGACAGTGCCGCAGGATCCAGACAGGACGGTTCCTCGCAGACACGATTCTGCCTCGTGAACCCGGCCTCGAACATGTTATTTCCGGTCAGCTGCCGAGGGAGACACCCAGAGCTCTCATCAGCGGCCTTACTTCATACTTCGCTGTCCCAGGAATGACACTTAAACCTACCTCTGAGTTTTCTAAGGGTGGAGACACTCGGGCGCTGTTTTGATTAAGCGGGAAGGCACTTCCCTCTTCTTTCACGAGCACAGAGATTAAAGTAATAAACCCACTGACTTAATTAAAAGAACCCGTCTCTCTGAAATGGACACAGGCCTCACTGAATACACCTGTCCCCACAGAGACGGGGACGAGGGCAGAGCGGCTCTCCGCACGGCCGACAGCGGGACTGCGTCCCATCGCAGGCCGCCCCCCCCCCCCCCGCCCCCGGTGCAGGGACGCCTGCCCGGGGCCTGTACGTGCTGCAGACACGCCGCTCCTCGCGCCGTCCAGCGAGACGGGGAGCAACCCCTCTCCCCCAGGAACTTTCCCAAACGTGCCCCCCCTCACGCTCAGGGCACAGAATCTCCTCTCCGTGAAGCGCGGCTGGTCGATTCCCTGGATTCGGCCCCAGGGCCCTGGGGGAGCCATGTTTTACCTTCTGGATTCCAGGAACCCTGACGGTTTCCAGCCAGGAGGCAGTTATCACAGGAACGAGTCCCACACACGTGTGCTTCCTCCTGACTCTGAGCCAAATTTTAAAGTCGACTGCCTCTCCCTTCCCTTATCCTCGTAAAATGTTTCGTCAAACTTGCTGACGGAAATGGATGAGCTAGCCTAAAATTTAGTGCATCTCATCTCCTTCCTTCTCAGCTTGGGGCCGGCGCTGCGCCCCCCTGCACCAGCGCGGACAGCCGAGGCAGGGAGAGCGGGAAGCAGCCGAGACCTGCCCGGCCTCCTGGGGACACCCGCCCTAAGGGGGCCGCTCTGCTCCCTCCGGCGCCCACCACCCCACGCGGAGACCAGCAGACCCTCATCACCTTGGAGCTGGGGTCCCTGGATAGAAAAGTTGCATGTGTTGGGGAGTCGCTCGGTCCCTGGAAACTGGCTGTTCAGATGGATTCTCTGCTTATCAAATTCAGCCTGAAAAGTCGATGAAGTGTTCAGAGGTAGTTTCAAAGCACACAGCCCCCCTGCCCCCCAACCTTTTGACCTCGAGCCTTTTCTGGAACACAAAATCTCAACCTCGACACGTAAAATAATTAGTTCATCAATAAGCATCTGCCTATAATAGTTATAGGGACTGACTGGAAAGCAAAGTTAATCGGGAGAAAAAATTCTGAATACGTGTGACTCTCCTCCGTACAACCATCAAATACACCAGCTCTGGCGCATTTCTATCACGCCTCTCTGAAGGTCGGCCACTTGGCCTAGAGCCCAACCTGGGGGTCTCCTGACCCAGGCTTCCGTCCTCTAGCCTCTGCCCTGACTGTCCCCACGGTCCCTGGACCGAGTCTCAGACAACCCCCGTTCTGTCCTGCCTGCTGCCTGGGGCGGCACGCCCGACCCCCAGCTCACTGGAGGAAGGCTGGGCCCCCCAGACTCCAGGCTGCCCCCCTGGCCCCCGCGGACCCCAGGCTCGCCTCCAGCCGCTCCTCCAGGTAGTCCCGAACGTCCCTCATGTGGGCCTCGTAAGCCTCGCAATTCCTGGTCACCAGCTCAGCGGCCTGGGAACAGGGACGGTAACGCGAAAAAGCATGTTCAATTGTCATAAAACAAGGAGAATAAGCAGCCTTCAAGAGCAGAGGTGAGATTTCCTGATGATAGAGAAGTGACATTTCCTCAAACTGCTCTTTTCCTGGAACATCTCGCATAGATAATATTTGCCGAGTGCAACCCTGTGACAGGGGCCATGGTCAGAGCTTGGGAGAAGAGCTATCTTCACTTGTTCAACAGGAATTTACTTTATCAGGTGCTTCCTGATACCTCCAGGCACCAGAGATACTGCCCATAAGAGCAAAGAGCGCTCTCCATTCTCGAGGCACAACCATTCCGGAGACCGAGGACCAAGGGAAGCGGGAACAGCATCATACCAACTGGGGAGAGCGCTCTGAAGGGCGCGCGGGGCATGCGGGGCACGCAGGGTAGGAGGTGTGAAGGTGACAGTGCATGGACCGAGGGTGTTCACGGCCATGGCAGAGGGAGGGGCAAGTGCGCTCCTGGGACATTGTGACCAAGGGGAACAAGGCCCCAGGTCCCCATGACAGGCAGGGCCAGGACCCAGGTGCCACAGCACAAATGCATGTAGGTTTTGAGGAAGAGGTGAGCTGCCCTGACTTGCATATGTAACGATCATTCTGGGTGCTGTGCAGAGAATGGAAGGGACCACGGCAGGCAGGCATCCAGGCTACAGATGGGGCTGACCTGGTCCAGAGTCACACAAGGCGCAGACCTCGATATACTGTGGAGACAGGGCAGACAGGACTGACTGGCTGCTCATCAGTGCAGACAAGGACCAGGAGGGACCAAGGCACCGCCTAGATTTCTGAAGTGAGGTCTCGGATGGCAGGAGGCACCATGGGGACAGAGGGGAACCAGGGAGGAGAGACACACAAGCGGGCCCAGAGGGAATGTCAAGTAAGCAGGTGGAGACCTGGGTTTCTCAGAAAGGTCAGGACCCGCCCTGAGATGCCAAGTTCAAAGCCCTGAGCACAGGCTGGTGGAGCCGCAGGCCAGGAGGAGTGCCACGAGGGAGCAGCTGTGGAGAGGAGGCTGGGATGGAGGCCCACCAGCAGGTGAGGAGGCCAAGGCCTGGCCAGGGCGGAGGGGAACTGGCTGGGGTAGGCATGCCAGCAGCGGTGCACAGGGCTGGGCCTCCTCACAGGAGGCACACAGGGAAAGGGGCCGTGGGAAGCCGGGAAGACGCCTGGACTTAGCCTGGGATGTAGCTCCGGGGAAGAGGGGCCTCGCGAAGCTGGCGGTGTGACAGGCCAGACTGCATGCACAGAGGGCAGTGGGGAGTCAGGGAGGCTCAGAGAACCTGGGGGAGGTGCAGCTGCAGGCTGGAGCTGAGGGGCCACCGAGCCAGTGGGCTGTCATCAAGCTGCATACAAGCTGCATCTTTTAAGCGGGACAGCCAGGGCTTGGGGGGTGGAGACGGCCCCAGGGAACAAGCCACCCATGGGCCCGACCGTGGGTCTCTGCTGTAAAGACGTCACTGTATTTCTTATATTAGCAGAGGCTTGAAAAGAGCTTTTCCGTGTCAGTGCTAAACAGAAGCAATCAATCCACTCTACAGATCTCAAAAAGTACACTCTGGGGTGATAAATACAATTTGAGGCTTTTTCTAACCTCAGTCCATTTATTAGGCTCACGAACATGATCTCCCTAAGGCCCTGGATACCCGGTAAAGCCGTTGGGGGAATGGACTGTAAGATGATAGAAAGTCTACAGGTCTCTGCCCCGGTCCCAGCACCGAGCTCCCAAAACCCCGGTCATTTCCTAAGTGATAGGAACACTAGGAGCATCTCTGGTTCTAGTATTTGGACTGTCGTTCCTGACACTGAGATCCTAAATCCCTTGGAATTTCCTGGGAGATAGGAACGTCTTTTGTTCCAATGTGGTGACTCTGGGTGGGCCCCGGGATGGGGCCTGGCCACTGAAAGTCACGAGCAGAAGCTTGGAATTTACACCCCCACCCTCATTCTCCAGAGAGGGGAGAGGGGCTAAAAATGGAGTTAATGACTGATCAAATCCCCACAAAAATCCCAATAGCATGCGTTTGGAGAGCTTCCAGGTTGCCGAACACGTGCCAGTGCGGGAGGGTGGCGCCCCTCCCCCATGCCTTCCCCCCGCCCCCCATCTCTTCCGCCTGGATGTTCATCTGTCTCCTTTAGCATATCCTTTCACAATAAACCAGTCGTCTAGTGAGCCAAGTGTTTCTGCAAGTCTGTGAGCTGTTCTGGCAAACTAAGTGAACCCGAGGAGGGGTCATGGGAGCCTCCGATGGAGAGCTGGCCAGTCAGAAACAGGTGACACCTGGGACTTACACCTGGGACTTACACCTGGTGTCTGAAGGGGTGCTGGGCGGGCGGTCCTGTGGGCCTGAGCCCCTGACCTGTCTCCAGGTAGCCAGTGTCAGAATCCAGTTCAATGGCGGGACACCCCGCTGGTGTCACAGAACTGCTGTATGGAAACCTGCCCCCGACACCCACCTCCGGTGTTGGGAGTGTTGTGCACGTGGCGGGCACGAGGGAGTAAAGGACACTCAGCTGGAGGGAGACTCAGGTTTTCCCACACACGAGACGAAGCACCTGCTCCATCTGCCCAAGCTCACCATGGCTTACCTTCCCAAGGCCAGCAATCATCGGCGTGTTCTCGGTCCTGTAAGAGACAAGGGATTCAATCCTATTTCCACGCAAAGCAATGAACAAATGTCCTAGGACGGAATCCGGTCTGTGAAAGTCATGGGTTCAACTGAAAACAAAATCACACCCACATCTTTCCTAAACATGTGCCATGTGCAGCGCCTCCATGGTGCTGCAGCCCCCAAACCCTCCACGCCCAGCTTCCTGGTCCACTCACCGTCCACACGGCCCGCCTTGGGCAACATACACTGGGTGTCCACACGGACAATTCTGTCTGGGCCCTTTTCCTACACAGGAGAAATCCCTCCTCCAGCTGCAGAGCCCAGGGCCCCCTTGTTGAACCCGGCGGGGGGTCCAAAGACGCCAGCTCCATGCTGTTCCCATCAGCTGACCATTCAGCTGCAGCCTCTCAACTGTCCCATGGGAAGAGTCGTTGGTTACTAGAGATTGTGTGTGTGCAGGAAAGGACGGGAGGACCCCCGAAGACCGGAGGCTCTCCCTCAGACCTAACAAGCTGAAAACAGAACTCTTCACTCTATTTTCAGGAAAAACAAAATAAATCACTAACGTAGTAATTCTCTGAATTTTAAGTTTTGGCTAAAGTTTGCTTAAACCTTGGGAGCCAGCTGCCACTGCTGACCCGCAGATAACCAGATAAGCAAACAGGAAGCACAAGGCACTACAGGTAACGTGATCCTGCTGATCTCCCTTTGACAAGTTCATTGGTCAGTTCTGTCCCCGGAGACAGGCTCTGACACCTGGGGATAGTCTGGGAAGAGCAAGGAGTCTGCATGGAGAATCCAGAGGTCTGAGCTTATCCTACATCTGACTCCTCGACCACTGGGATCCTAATGCCATCCCCTCTTCGGGCCTCACCCCCCTCATCTGTGGGACAGCACGGCCGGACCAAGAGCATCTCTCAAGGTCTGTGCCCTGTAAGTGGCTAGAGGGGCTGCCCAGGTGAAGCTGGGACCCTGTGTAGAACCTGGAGCTTGTCCTCACACCCCCACCCCGAGCATTAGGTCAACCTCCTCTGCCTCCTTCTGGAGTCATGCAAACCCTGCTTCCCACTCCCAGTCCACATACTGAGCTACCCTATTAGGGCTTCCCGAACACATGATGTTCTACCTCTTCTTCTTCTTCTTTTTTTTTTAATTAAACTTTGTTTTAAAGATAATGTAGATTCATATGTGGTTATAAGAAATAATATAGAGACATTCTGTATAGCTGTTACTCAGCTTCCCAGTAATGCTGTGGTACAAGATCACAACCAGGTTGTGGATAAGATACAGAACGTTTCCACCACCACCAAGGTCCCTCCTGTTGGCCTTTTATAATCAGACCCCTTTGCCTTGGGCCCTATCCCTTCCTTAGCCCCGGGCAACTGCTAACCTGTTCTCCATCTCTAATTCTGTCATTTCAAGAATGTTCTATAAATGGAATCAGTTATAACTCTGGGGGATTGGCTTCATTCAGCATAATTCTCCGGACATTCCTTGCAGGCGGCTGTGTGTATCAACAGCTAATCCCTTTCCATGACTGAGTAGTGTCCACGCACAGATGTGCCAGCCACTCGTTACAGGACATCTGAGCTCCCTGTACTTTGTGGCCATCGCAAATAAAGTTGCTAGACACACTTGCGTCCAGGCTTTTGTGGGAACGTAAGTCTGCATTTCTCTGGGATGAGTGTCCAGGAGTGAAATTCCTAGGTTGTACGGTGGGCACAGATCTAGTTTTAAGAGACAATGCCAGGCTGCTTTCCAGAGCAGCTGTCCCGTTCCCCCCCCCCGGCCGTGCATGAGTGAAGCCGAGTCTCCGCAACCTCAACAGCACTCCACGTTGTCTCTAGTTTTGTCTTAGTCGTTCCAGTAGGTGTGATGTCTCATTGTGACTTTTTTTTTTAAGATTTTTTATTTTATGTATTTGAAACAGAGAGAGGCAGCACAAGAGGGGGTAGGGTGAGAGGGAGAAGCAGACTCCCTGCCGAGCAGGGAGCCCGATGCAGGACTCGATCCCAGGACCCCGGGATCGTGACCTGAGCTGAAGGCAGTCGCTTAACCGACTGAGCCACCCAGGCGCCCTCTCATTGTGATTTTAATTTGCATTTCCCTAATAGCTAAAAATGTTCAATATCTTTTCATGTGCTTATTTGCTATCTGTGTATCCTCTTTGGTGAAATGTCTCTGAGTGTCTTTTGCCCATTTTTTGACTGAATTGTTTGGGGGTTTTGGCTGTTGAATTTTGAGAGTTTTCTTTATGTATTCTAGATACGAGTCCTTTGAGGACATATTCTAGTGCATAGCTTGTCTTTTCATCCTCTTAACAAATTGTTTTGCAGGGAGAAAGGTTTAAATTTTGATGAAGTTCAATTATCAATTTTTCCTTTTAAGGATGCTTTTGGTATCAAGTCTAAGATCTATTTGCTGAGGCCTAGAGCCTGAAGATGTTTTCCTGTTTTTTTTTTCCCTAAAAGTTTTATAGTTTTATGTTTCACATTTAAGTTCATCATGCATCCTGAATTAGTATTTTACAAGCTGTGAGACTTAGGTTGAGGTTTGTCGTCTGCGTAAGGATGTCTAATTGCTCCCGTACCATCTGCTGAGAGTGTCTTTCCTCCACCAAATTACTTCTGTATTTTTGTCAAAAGTCCTTTGGGCATACTTCTGGTTGTATCTGTTCTGTTCCATTGGTCTACTTGCTGGGCTTTTGATAGAAATTGGGCTAAACTGATATATCATTTTGGGGAGAACGGACCTTTACTGTACTGAGTCTTTTGATCCATGAACACAGCATGTCTCTCCACATATTTAGATCTTTGCTCTTTTAGCCACATTGGTAGTTGTCAGCCTACAAGTCCTATATCTGAGTATTCCTGAGTGATTATAAATGGTACTGTATTTTTAATTTTGTTGTTCATACATTCTTTACCAATAGAGAGAAATATAATCAATATTTGTATGCTTATCTTGTAACCTATGATCTTGCTGAATTCACTCATCAGTCCGAAGAGTTTTCTTATATGTTCCTTGGGATTTTCTACAGAGACCATCATGTGATCTACAAAAAGGGGCAGTTTTACCACTTCCTTTCCAATCTGTATTCCTTATATTTCCTTTGCTTGCCTTCTGCACTGACCAGAACTTCCAGCACTGCTGAAAAAGAAGTGAGAGTGGACATCCTTGGCTTGTTCCGTCATAGGAGTAGAACATTCAGGCCTTCGTTGTTGAGTGTGATGTTGGCAGTAGGTTTTTTTGTAAATGCTCTTTTCAAGCTGAAGAAGTTCTCCTCTAGTCATATTGTGAGAGTTTTTAATGAATGAATGTTGATTTTTATTAAATGCTTTTTATGCATTAAATTATGTTATTTTTCTTGTTTTTAAGTAGGCTTCATGCCCAGTGTGGAGCCCAGCACAGGGCCTGAACTCACGATCCTAGATCAAGACCCGAGCTGAGATCAAAGGTCAGACGCTCAACTGACTGAGCCACCCAGGCGCCCCAATTTTTTTTCTTTAACATGCTACCTTACATTGATTGATTTTGGAATACTGCAACAGCCTTGCATCCTTGGAACAAACTCCATCACGGTGTATATATTATTTTTATACATTGCTGAATTCCATTTGCTAAGATTTTGTTAAAGACTTCTGCAGCTAAATTCATGAGAGATATTTGGTCCATAGTTTTGTTGTTTTGTACCGTCTTTGTCTGGTTTTGGTATAAATTCATAAAATGAACCAGGGAAATGTTCCCTCCTCCTATTTTTTGGGAAGAGACTTCATAGAATGGTGTGATTTCTTTAAGTGTTTGGTAGAATTTTCCTGTGAAATTACCTGGGCCTGGAGATTTCTTTTTGAGGAGTTCTAAAATTACCAAATTAATTTCCTTTTCCTAATAGTTATAAAGCTATTTAAATGATCAAATCTCCTATTAGGTGAGCTGTGGTAATTTGTTTTTTGATGAAGTATTCCACTTCATCTGAATTGTCAAATTTGATTTTGGCAATTTTTTGTCAGTCTTACTAGAAGTTTGTCACGTGTTGTTGTTGTTTTTTAATTTACTAAGTTTTTCTTTTAATTCCAGTATTCTTAACATACAGTATTATATTAGTTTCAGGTGTACAATACCGTGAGAGATTTGTCAGTTTTATCAATATTTTTAAAAGGCTATTTCTTTGTTTCAATTATTTTTGTTTTCAGGGTGCCTGGGTGACTCAATTGGTTCAGCGCCCAACTTTTGATTTTGGCTTGGGTCATGATCTCAGGGTCATGGGATCAAGCCTTCCAACAGGTCCTGCACTAAGCGGAGATTCTCTTTCTCCCTCTCCCTCTGCTCTCGCTCTCTCACTAAAAACAAATAAATAAAATCTTTAAAAAATTACTTTTGTTTTCAATTTCACTAATTTCTGTTCTTCAGTATTTCCTCATGTTTGCTTTGGGGTTATTTTGCTCTACTTTTTCTAAGTTCTTCAGGTGAAAGCTTATTGACTTCAGAGTCATCATCTTTTTTAAATTAAGATTTATTTTATTTATTTAGGGAGTGCTCGTGAGTGGGGGAGGGGCGGAGGGAGAGGGAAAGAGAGAATCTCAAGCAGACACCCCACTGAGCTCAGAGCCCAACAGAGGGCTTGATCTCATGACCCTGACTGAGATCATGACCTGGGCTGAAATCAAGTCAGACATTTAACTGACTGAGCCACCTAGGTGCCCCGAGAGTCATCATCTTTTTTAACATATACATTCAGCGCTATAAATTTCCCTTTCAGCCATGCTTTGGCTGTCTCACAAATTTTGATAAGGTGTATTTTCATTTTCACTCATTTTGATGTATTTAATTCTTTTGAGGAATCCTGTTTGACCCATGGTTTATGTAGAAGTGTGTTGTTTGTTTCTAAGTGTTTGGAGATTTTCCCATTACCTTCTAGTTACTGATTTCTGGTTTGATTCCACTGCGATGAGAAAACACTGTATGATTTCGGTTCTTGAAATGTATTGAGATTTGTTTAATGACACAGGACATGGTCTATCTTAGTGTATATTCTGTGGCACTTGTAAAGAATATGTATTTTGCTGTTGTTGGGTGAAATGTTCTAAATACTTCAATTAGGTCCTATTGGTTGTTGGCTGTTATTGAGTTCTTCCGTATCCTGGTTGATTTTTATCTAGTTGTTGTATTCATTGTTGAGGGAAGGGTACTGAGGTCTCCATCTGTAATTGTGGATTTGTCTGTTTCTCTTTTCAGTTCAATATGTTTTTGCCTCACATACTCTGCAGCTCTGTTGTGTACTCCATCACCATTTAGGATGGCTAGGAATTCTTGGTGGACTGACTCTTATCATTATATAATGTCCCCTTTGTGGCTCTGGTAATTTGCTCTGCTCTGGAGTCTCCTTTATCTAATATATAACCATTCCTGCTTCCCTTTGATTAATGTTTATATGATACCTATTTTTCCATTTTTAAAATTCAACCTCCCTCTATCAATATATTTGAGGTGAGTTTCTTATATGTACCACATATAGTTGACCCTTGAACAACACAGGTTTGAACTTCATGGGTCCACTTTCATGCAGATTTTTTACAGTACTGTAAATGTGTTTTCTCCTCCTTATAATTGTCTTAACGTTTTCTTTTTGCTAGCATACTTTATTGTAAGAATATAGTATATAATACATATAACATATAAAATATGTGTTAACTGACAACTTATGTTATCAGTAAGGCTTCCAGTCAACAGGGGGCTATGAGCAGTTAAGTTTTATGGAGTTAAAAGTTACATGTAGATTTTCAACTGTGCAGGGGATCGGCACCACTAACCCCTGCGTTGTTCAAGGGTCAACTGCAGTTGGGTGATTTTTTTTTTTCTTTTAAGATTTATTTTAGGGAGAACAGGAGCGTACACACACAAGCACAAGTGAAGGGAGGAGCAGAGGGAGAGAATCTTAAGCAGACTCCCTGCTGAGCATGGAGCCTGACATGGGCTCAATCTCATGACTCATGAGACCACAACCTGAGCTGAAACCAAGGGTTAGACTCTTAACTGACTGAGCCACCCACGCGCCCCAGTTGGGTCAATTTTTAAAAAAATTCACTCTGCCAATCTCTGTCTATTAATTGCTGTATTTAGACCATTTACATTTAATGTAATTAATGTTAGGGTTTAGGTCACCCATTAAAAAATTTTTTGTTTGTTCTGTTTTTTGTTTCTCTGTTTTCTTCTTCCTACCTCTCAGTGGGTTATTTGAACATTTTTCAGAAGTTCAAGTGAACAGAAACCTTATCTCCTTTTACATTTAGTCCTCCTCCATTTATAATATAATTATCTTAAATTTTTCTTCCACGTGTATTTGGAACCACATCATACGTGCTATAATTTTTGCTTAAGCCATCAAATACAATTTCGAAAACTCAAGAAAAAAGCCTATTTTATTTACCCATACTTTGCTTACACTGCTCTCTTTCTTTCTTTTGATGTTCCCAGTTTCCTTTTTTTACTATTTCCTCTCTGTTTAAAGAACTTCCTTTAGAAATTTTTAGCATAGGTCTTCTGGTGACAAATTCTGTTAGTTTTCCTTTATTTGAGAACGTCTTGATTTTCCCTTTATTCCTGAAGGATATTTCTGCTGCATATGGGATTCTGGCTTGACAATGCTTTCAACACTTGCAAAATACTGCATCACTTCCTTCTGGTCTCCATGGTTTCTGATGAGAAATACACTGCCATTTGAATTATTTTCACCCTGTAGGAAAGGTGTCATTCTTTCCTCTGGCTGCTTCCAAGATTTTTCTTTGCCTTTCATTTTCAGAAGTTTAACTATGTGCCTTGGCAAGGATTTCTTTCGGTTTACCCTGCTTGGGGTTTGTTCAGCTTCTTGAATCTGTAGGTTTATGTCTCTTGCCAAATTTGGGAAGTTTTCAGCCATTATTTTTTCGAGTTCTTCTTCATCCTACCTTTTCTCCTCTCTTCCTAGGATGTCAATGAAATGACCGTGAGATCTTCTCCTATAGTCCCTACAAGGTCCCTGAGGTGTGGTTTTTTTCCCCAGGCTAGTTCCTCCCTGTTGCTTAGATTGGGTAATTCTATTGTTCTCTTTCAGTTCATGGGTTCTTTCCTCTGTTGCCCCTATTCTGCTGGTGTGCCCATCCACTGTGCTTACTTCGGTTGCTGTTGTTTTTAGTTCTAAAGTTTCCACTTAGTTCTTCTTTATATCTTCTTTGTTCTTGCTGGCACTTTCATGCATTTCAACTGGGTTCATAATTGCTCGCTGAAGCATTTTTTCTTATGTCTGCCTTGAAATCTTTGTCAGATAATTCTGACATCTTTGTCATCTCAAGTGTCAGTACTGGAATCTATTTTTTTTTAATTCAATTTAAGATCTTTTTTGTTCTTGATATGATGAGTGGTTCTCAATGGAAACCTGGACATTTTCATGTCCCTTACTTAACCCTTCTATTTTAGCTGGCTTCTTTTGACACTGCTGTGGCAGGGAAAGGAGTATGCCAGCTCACTGCTGCCAGGTGAAGGTAGGAATCTGGGTTCCCTACTCAGCCTGTGTCAACATGCAACGGCAGGACACACTTTGTCAGTAAAGCTGTGGGTGGAAGCCCTGGTGGTCTCCATGGACACCACGGTGAGGGTACCTCGTTACTGGCTCCCTACTAGGCCCCCTCTGACACACCTGGGGTGGGTATGAGAAGATCTTGTCACAGGCTGCGCAGGTGGAAGTCTGGGCTCCCTGTCCTGCCTTTGCTGGCACGGGTGGGGATGGCAGCAGTTTACCATGTGGTGATTGGCCAGAGTAAAGTGGGAATTGTCTAAAAAGTTCTCTGACTTGCTAGGCTGTCCCGTTCCTGGTCCATTGTCTAGTGAGAGTTGGCTTTGGTTGGACATTGTTTTGTTTTGTTTTGTTTTCTGCCCTCATTAGTGTTTCTGAGTTACAGGCTTCATCAGCTGTAATTCAGGGACAAAGGAGGCAAACAAAAACCCAGGGAACCCACTACCACGTTGTTCCTGTTTCTCCTTCTTGTTAGAATTTCTGATAGAAGGTGTGGCCCTGGTACCACCTCCTTCCCTGGTTACAGTATCAGCTTCTATCGCTGGGACACAGGAGCTATCAGAAAGGAAGCCAGGTGCTACTGTGCAACCCTGCTCATCCCACCCTCATGAGAAGAGCAGCACATCTCAGCCAGGAGGCTCCAGCTTTGAGTCATCCCCATAGAAACTGAAGATCTGTGAATGTGCAGAATCTATCAGTGCAGCAAATTCTGACTCAGTAGTGAGGTAGAACGTGCTATTAACAGTTCTCCTAAGAGACAAAGAAAAGTTACTGCCCTACAGACCAACAGGAAGGTCAGTAGGCCAGAGACTTCATTAACCTTCTATCTTACCCTGGCCTGAAATTCCGTTCTTGTCCACCTCCAAACAGCATAGGGTACAGAGGGGTAAGTTCACCAAGCCCTCGGACGTAAAGTGCTCCAATTCTGGGACCATAGAACTGAAAGGAAAAGTCAGTCATTTATTCAGCAAGAACCTTCTGAGCTCCTACTCGGTATGCATACTGAGTGCTTAGAGGCACACAGAGAAATACTCTGTACCCTATGGGTCCCACAGCTGTGCTACCCATCACCACTCTGGACATGTCAGAGTCACAGCAGCCTTGGGGGTGCAGGGCAGAGCCTGGACTCTTGTTCCTAGCCTGGGGCAGCAGAGCTTGACTGCACATCACAGAACAGAATTTGTAGAAGGAGAGGGGCTGGAACTAGAGATTGCCAAGGGCTTTTCCCGGGTATGACTCCACGTTTTCAAACGGACATTTTGCAAAAATCATTAAGTGCCACAGTGTCGGGTCAGCACACGTGCTCCTTTGGAGACTAGCTGAGCACCATGCTTCAACATAGAGGACTACGAATATTTCAGGTTCTAGTCAGCGGCCAGAAAGTGAGTGAAGTCTCAGAAGGGTCCTCACTATTGTTTCCTCTCTCCCACATTTCAGGTAAGAGCTGGTAAAACAAAACCACTGCACAGAGCTGCACTTTAAATCAAGTTAGAGCAAGCAACATCTTGAATCTCACATCTTCCATCCTTGGGGTGGGGGCCTATGAGTGGGCTGATGAGGGGTCTACAGGCGCTCTCTGCCCACTGCAAAGAATACTCAATATCTGGCTGAAGCCACCTGCCTTATGTCTCACCTGAGGCCTCTATGTCCTTCCACAGCCCTGCCTGGCCACCCACTCCTGTCCCAAGTTGGGGTGCTGCTGGTCTCTCCTTCTTCAGCTCGTGAGGGTGGGGGCTGCAAATTGCACCACTGTGTCCCCCGACAGCACTGGACAACAAATGGACGATCAGGGGTGCCGTGGGCTCTGCTCTAAGGTGAGCCTCGAGGTCACGGAAGGAAGGAAGCCGCTGTGGACGCACCTTGTGCCCAACGATGGTCAGGAAGTCCACGCCCAGGTCCTCCACATCCACGCGCCGCTTCCCCAGGGCCTGTGCCGCATCTGTGTGTAGCAGAATGACCGGCAGCCCGGAAGCTGTCCGCTTCTGGTTCAGGGCTTTAATTCGCTGACTGATTTCAGAGATGGGCTGAAGTAGGGGAAAATAAACAGTTGAGAATGTCTCTTTGATTTCATGAAAACTGAATGAAAGAAATAAGGAGTCATTACTGAGGAGAGGAGGAGGAGGAGAGGAGGAGGGAGGGGGAAGAAGATGAAGACAACGACGAAGACAAAAATGGCGAAGATGAAGATAAAGAAGGAGAAAGAAGAGGCCCCAGGTAAGATGCATGAGAACATCAAGCAGAGTCTGGGCCCCCTTCACTCCTCACTAGATTTTCTTAAAAGGATAAATGACTCACCATGACGACCCCAGTCTCGTTATTGGCCAGCATGATGGTCACGAGGCACGTGGCCGGGCGGACAGCTGCCAGGATGTCCTCAGCCTCCACCTGCCCGTTCACCTTGGATACTGGCACAAAGGTGACCGCTGAGGGAAAAAAGCACACAGACCAAGGTTAACCTTGTAAAATAACCTCTTTTGAAAGTTCATTTAGATACAGCTTAACAAAAGTATTTTCCACATTTAAAAAGTAATTTATTGTAAAAGTTCAGAAAACTATAAGGAATATGAGTCACCCATCATCACAGCACATGGATATAGCCAATGCGAATGCTCCTCTAAAGCAGCTTCAGTTGCTGAGTTTGTTCCGTGGAACACCCTCTCCATTCTGCTGCTGAGGGGCCCACAAGGAGGCAATACACTCTTAGTTCATGAGCATCTATTTTTTAAAAATTTTATTTTAATTCCAGTATAATTAACATATGGTGTTATATTAGTTTGGGGTCTACAATATAGTGATTCAACAGGTCTATCCATTACTCACTGCTCATCATGGTTAATCTACTACTAATCCCCATCACCTGTTTCCCCCACCCCCCACCCACATGCCCTCTGGTAACCATCACTGTGTTCTCTATATTTAAGTCTGGTTTTTGGTTTGTCTCTTTTTTAATTTGCTCATTTTCTTAACTAAATTTCACACATGAATGAAACCATATGGTATTTATCTTTCTCTGACTTATTTCACTTAGCATTATACTCTCTAGACCTATCCATGTTGTTGCAAATGGCAAGATTTCATTCTTTTTTATGGCTGAGTAATGTTCCATTATATACATCATCACATCTCCTTCCATCTATCAATGGGCACTTGGGTTGCTTCCATGTCTTTGTTATTGTAAACAATGCTGCAATAAACATAGGGGTGCTTAGATCTTTTCAAATTAGTGTTTTCATATTCTTTGGGTAAATACCCAGTAGTGTGATTACTGGATCATATGGTAATTCTACTTTTAATTTTTTGAGGAACCTCCATACTGTTTTCCACAGTGGCTGCACTGGTGTGAATTGCCACCAACAGTGCACATCCTTGCCAACACTTGTTTCTTGTGTTTTTGATATTAGCTATTCTGACAGGTGTGAAGTGACATCTCATTGTAGTTTTGATTTGCATTTCCCTGGTGATGAGTGATGTTGAGCATCTTTTCATGTGTCTGTTGGCCATCTGGATGTCTTCTTTAGAGAAATGTCTGTTCATTTTTTATTTTTATTTTTTTTTAAAGATTTTATTTATTTATTTGAGAGATAGAAAGCACGAGAGGGAAGAGGGTCAGAGGGAGAAGCAGACTCCCCGCTGAGCAGGGAGCCCGATGCGGGACTCGATCCCAGGACTCCAGGATCATGACCTGAGCCGAAGGCAGTCGTTTAACCAACTGAGCCACCCAGGCGCCCGTCTGTTCATTTTTTAATTGGATTACTTGATTTTTTGGTGCTGAATTGTATGAGTTCTTTATATATTTTGGGTATTAACCTTTTATCAGATGTCATTTGCTAATACCTCCTCTCATTCAGTAGGTTGTCTTTTTGTTTTGTTTATTGTTTCCTTTGCTGTGGAAAAGCTTTTTATTTTGATGTAGTCCCAAAAGTTTATTTTCGCTTTTGTTTTTCTTGCCTAAGGGGACATATCTTGAAAGAACCTGCTGTGCCCACATCAAAGAAATTACTGACTACTCTCTCTTCTAGGATTTTTATGGTTTTGGGTCTCACATTTAGGTCGTTAATCCATTTTGAGTTTATTTTTGCATAGCATGTAAGAAAGTGGTCCAGTGTCATTCTTTTCCATGTAGCTGTCCAGTTTCCCCAATACCATTTGTTGAAGAGACTTTTTCCCAGCGCATATTCTTTTCTGCTTTGTCGAAATTAATTAACCATATAATTGTGGGTTTATTTCTGGGTTTTCTATTCTGTTCCATTGATCTATGTGTGTATTTTTGTGCCAGTACCATACCGTTTTGATTACTTCAACTTTGTAGTGTATCTTGAAATCTGGGATTGTGATACCTCCAGTTTTGTCCTTCTTTTTCAAGATTCCTTTGGCTATTTGGGGTCTTTTGTGGTTCCATACAAATTTTAGGATTGTTTGTTCTAGTTCTGTGAAAAGTGCTCTTGGTATTTTGCTAGAGACTGCATTAAATCTGTAGATTGCTTTGGGTAGTATGGACATTTTAACAATATTTGTTTTCCCAATTCATGAGCGTTGACTGTCTTTCCATTTGTGTCACCTTCAATTTCTTTCATCAGCTTTATAGTTTTCAGAGTACAGGTCTTTCACCTCTTTGGTCAGGTTTATTCCTAGGTATCTTACTGTTTTTGGTGCAATTGTAATGAGACTGGTTTCTTGATTTCTCTTCCTGCTGCTTCATCATTAGTGTATAGAAATGCTATGGGTTTCTGTATATTAATTTTGTATTCTGCGACTTTACTGAATTTGTTTATCAGTTCTAGTAGTTTTTTGGTGGAGTTGTGTTTTCTATATAGAGTATCATGTCATCTGCAAATAGTGAAAATTTTACTTCTTCCTTACCAATATGGATGACTTTTATTTCCTTTTCTTGTCTGAATGCTGTGTCTAGGACTTTCAGTACTCTTTATTTTTTGCATACCTATTACTGGTTTTTGACTTGTCGTTACCGTTAGGTTTAAATATAACATCTTATGCATAATAGCAGTTTGTAGTAAGTTGATGGTTGAACCCATTCTAAAATCACTAAATTTTTCCTCCTCTCCCCCACACATTTTAGGTATGTGGTGTCATACTTTACATCCTCTTATTTTATGAATTCCTTGACTGATTTTTATAGATATACTTAATTTACTGCTTTTGTGCTTCCTACTTTTCTTATTCTTATTTATGTTCTTTCTACAAAAAGAGTCCCCTCCCCTTTAACATTTCTTATACAGCTGGTTTGGTGGTATTGAATTCTTTTAACTTTTGTTTGGGAAATCCTCTCTCTCTTTTTATTCTGAATGATAGACCTGCTGGATAGAGTATTCTTGGCTGCAGGTTTTTTTCTTTCAGCACTTTGAAGGTATCACACCACTCTCTTCCGGCCTGCAAAATCGCAGCTGAAAAATCAGCTCATAGCCTGATTGGGTTTCCCTGGTATGTAGTTGTTTTATCTTGCTGCTTTTACAATTCCCTCTTTATCACTACTTTTTTGCCATTTTAATTACTATGTATCTTGGTGTGGCCCTCCTTGGGTTGATTTGGTGGGAGCTGTCTGTCTCCTGGATCTGGATTTCTGTTTCCTTTCCCAGATTTAGGACGTTTTCAGCTATTATTTCTTTGAATACATTTTCTGTCCCCTTTTCTCTCTCTCATCCTTCTGGGATCCCTACGATGCCAATGTTTTACTCTTTTTTTTTTTTTTTAAGATTTTATTTATTTATTTGAGAGAGAGAATGAGAGATAGAGAGCATGAGATGGGGGAGGGTCAGAGGGAGAAGCAGACTCCCTGCCGAGCAGGGAGCCCGATGTGGGACTCGATCCCGGGACTCCAGGATCATGACCTGAGCCGAAGGCAGTGGCTTAACCAACTGAGCCACCCAGGCGCCCCAGCAATGTTATTACTCTTGATGGTGTCACTGAGCCCCCTTAATCTATGTTCATTTTTTATTATTCTTTTTTTCTCTCTTATGTTTAGTTTGATTGCTTTCCATTACTCTGTCCTCCAGGTCGCTGATCCATTCTTCTGCTTCCCCTAGTCTGCTATTTATTCCCTCTAGTGTATTTTTCATTTAAGTTATTGAGTTTTTCATCTCTTCTTGGTTCTTTTTAATGTTTTCTTTTTGTTGAGGGTTTCACTGAGGTCCTCCACTTTCTTCTCAAGTCCAGTGAGTACCTAATGACCATTACTTTAAATTCTCTATCAGGCATATTATTTATCTCCATTTGATTTAGCTCTCTTGCTGTGATTTTGTCCTGTTCTTTCATCTGGGACAGATTCTTCTGTCTTCTGATTTTGTCTAACTCTGTCTGTTTCTATGTGTTAGGAAAGTCAGCTAGATCTCCTGCTCCTGAAATTAGTGGCCTTATGAAGGAGAGGTCCTATAGTGCCCTGCTTTGTGTGGTGTTCCCTGTTGACTAGAACCTAGGGGTGTCTCCTATGTGCACCCTACTGTTGTGGCATTTGCCTTCAGTCCAATTGTCTGCAATGGCTGTCTGCCTGTTGTAGACAGGGTTTGGTCCCTCTGTTGTTAGTGGGTGGGTCTGCAGGAAAACGTGGGGGTGGGACATGCAGTGCCAACAAGGTCTGCACCAGTCCCCTGCAGGAAGGGACCTGCAGCTGCCCAGGAAAACTACCCAGGCCAGGAGGGAAGATGTGGGTCCACAGAAGAGTGTGGGGTGGGATACACTGTTAACAAGCTAGGTGGAGAGTGCTGCACTACACTGGTTCCCATGGGTGTCTGTGTATCTGGCTGGGAGCTGGAGGAGGGAAATGGCATCTGCCAGCTCCTTTGTTCTTGGGGAAGTCTCCCAAAAGATACCATGCCCCTCCAGCAGACACTCCGAGATTAGTAAATAAATCTCCCTCCCATACACCCAAGGAGTTTATCAAACTGCTGTTTCTATGCTGTATCTCCATGGGGCTGTTAGTTGTACAGTCTCTGTAAGGGTGGGACTTCAGTTTCCTCTTGGTCTCCCAGCTCTTCCAGAGCCAAGCATGTTGATTTTTAAAGTTCCAGGTGTTAAGCCCCACTGATTTTAAGAACTCACAAAGTTAGGCCCCTCTGGTTTTCAAAACTAATGTTATGGGGATCCATCTTCCCAGCGCAGGTTCTCCATACCTGGGGTTCCTGGATGGGATCTGCTCTTCTCCCCTCTCTGAGCCCATGGCGTCCCTCCCCCCATGTACAGTCCCACAGGTCCATCTGGCTCCCAACCCTGTCTCTGCCCTTCCTACCCTCTTCAACATGGCCTCCTCTCTACGTTTAGCTGTGGAGAATTTGTTCTGCCAGTCTTCAGGTCATTTTTGGGGGTTATTTACGCTGACGTGGATATTATCTGGGTGTATCCATGAGACAAGGTGATTGCAGGATCTTCCTACTCTACCGTCTTCATGAGAGCACCTTAACGTACCAAGTACTTAACCTTCACTCACTCGACACTGAGCAAACACTTGTTAATCGCCTACTAGGCTCCAGGCACTGCTCCAAGCTCTTATAACCTCATTACTACAGATGAATAATAAGTGAAGGTGACTGAATCAAGATTTTGGTTCAAAATGGTTAAGACAAATGCATCCACTCTCCCCTCAAGGCCCTAAATGAGAGAACAGATGTTTTCTAAATCAGGGCTATCACCTGTGGACAAGGAATTTTGAGGAATTCTCAGAATATAGAAAGGTGATGGCATTAGATTAATAAGAATAGGAAAAAGACACTCAGAACAGTAATAGGCGAAAACTATGAGAGACGTAGTGATCATCCACGTGCAGAGTACACAGCATGGAGCGTGAGGAGGGCAAACTGCTGAGGCGGGCAGGGGCTGGGTGTGATGGCCTAGCACCCCCACCACACACCACGCAGGTGGGTGGCAGAAGCACTGGCTGTGACTGAGAAGAGCACCACGTGCCCAAGAGAGGACTGCAGGCCTGGGCGGGCTCCAGGGACAGGGTAGGAGCCAGAGAAGGGCAGAGTTCATGCATCCACTGCAAGACTCAAAGGACAGCAAAAGAAAGGCTGCTCTGGCTGGGATTACTCCTCCTGGGCACTTGGGTGGCTCAGTCGGTTAAGCGTCTGCCTTCAGCTCAGGCCATGATCCCAGGGTCCTGGGATCGAGCCCTGCATCGGGCTCCCTGCTCGGCGGGGAGTCTGCTTCTCCCTCTCCCTCTGCCCCTCCCCCTGGGGGCAGATAAATATTTATCTCAAATAAATATTTTTTTTAAAAAAAGGATTACTTGTCTTTTTATTAAGCACATGAAAGGATGATCAACATCATCAGCCATCAGGGAAATGCAAATCAAAACCATGAGATACCACTGCACACCCCCTGGGATATAGCTATAACAAAAGATACAGAATCGCAAACGTTGTCGAGGGCACAGAGAAACAGGAACCCTTGTGCCCTGCTGCTGGAAACATAAAAGGGTACAGCTGCTTCGGAATACGAAGGTCACCTCAAAAGGTTAAACACAGAGTTACTCTGTGACCCAGCTATTCCTCTCCTAGGTATAAGCCCAAGAGAAACAGAAACATACATCCACACAAGAACTTGTACACAAAGGTTCATAATGGCATTATTCATAATGCCAAATAATTGTTAACTGATGAATGGATAAGTAACGTGAATGTTATTTATATCAATTAGAATTCACATAAAATGGAATAGTATAAATCCATAAAAAGAAATTAAGTACTGGTACATGCTACATCATGAATGAACCTTGAAAACATGCTAATTGAAAGAAATCAGTCAAAAACACCACATATTCTATGATTCCATTCATACGAAAGTCCTCTGAAATAGGGCAATCTTTAGAGACAGGAAATGAATTACTGGTTGCCTGGGGTTGAGGCAAACGGAGAATTACAGTGGGTGGGTACAAGGTTTTGGGGGGTGATGAGATGTTCTATAACTGATCATGGTGATGGTTGCACAACTTGGTGAATAAACTAAGAACCATTGAACGGCAGAGGGAGAAGCAGAGTCCCCGCCGAGCAGGGAGCCCAACGCGGGGCTCGATCCCAGGACCCCAGGATCATGATCTGAGCCGAAGGCAGACACTTAACTGACTGAGCCACCCAAAATCTTTGTAATTTAAGCAGGAGGTTAAATGCAACAGCAACTAAGAATGATGTGTCGCCCTTCCCTGTAAGTACAGAAAAATAAGAAAGACAAAAAAAAAAAAAAAAAAAGGCACAAGAGCTGAAATAAGAAAGTCAGACCTGACTGATCTCTTTTTTTAGTTAAAGTAGTGCATCTAGGTAAGACCAGAAAGAGAAGAACCCTTGTAGGAAACAGGAAAATCCATAGAAAGTCTTCATAGTCAAACAGAACACTATGTTACAGTCCTTTATCTTTATGATAAAAATACTTTCCCTCGATTCACCTTCAGGTTTCCAGGCAGATTAGAGAGGCAGAGAGGAAAGTCATTTTGCTTAAAGGAAAGTAATCACCTCGGCTGTCTTGGGGAAGAAAAGGGCTCTTGGTTTTCAAAAGTCTGTGGTCTGTGCCCCGTGTCTTGAGACTTCACAGCACGGGAAAAGTGAAAGGTCCGAGTCACTGCCACTGCTGGCCAAGCCCACCCTCCCGCCCCTCAGCCTGCCTGGCGAGCCGTCTGCTCCCGAGCCGCCCGGCCCCCTGGCGAGGCCTCACTCCCCTGTGCTGAGATGAAGTCGTCCAGCAAGAGCACATTCATTCTGGTGTTTACCCCCTGATGCTGAGGTCTATTTGACCCTTGTTCTTCCTATCGGAGGAAGTGGAAGCCAAGATTTAATCATTGCAATCCAAGTGAAAAGCTCTGTTTAGCATTTACAGGCATACCATTTCAATACGTATATTTTATATACAAGAATCTGAAGTATCGTCTACTTGATAGATCTAGACTGGATCTCCACATTGATGACCCATTTTTTCCCTAAGGGACAATCTGGCAGCATTCACTGGTTCCCGTGTGGGGACAGGCTATGTGACCTTTGCCCCTGCGGACGGCCAGGGAGGCTGCAAGCGGGCGGTAAATGATTCACCGGGTCCTGGAATCAGTGAGCGGCAGTGAGCGGAGCTGCCCTGCGGAATCCGCCAGGCTGGTCACTCACCGGCCACCCGTTCTTCCACCAGGTGCTCCAGGGGCAGACGGATGGAGTCGTGTTCCACGGTGCAGGTGATAAGGTGGGGCGTGGCCCCATCCAGCGGGCTGCACAGCTCGGCCGGGCTCCCCTTGGAGGGACGGGTTTGGTGGAAATGTTTCACCACGGAATGAATTACTAAGTTGTTTGACTGCAGAGAGCAGAAAGAGCATTTACGGACACCTGGGCTAAGGGGAGAGCAAGGGTAGCACCTTCTCTGACTTCATTTTCCTTGTGACTAACATTTAAAAAGGAAAGAATGGTCTTGAAGACATTCAGCTTCTGAGCTGCACATCTGAATGCCCAAAGACAAAGATTTGGGGTTTCAACCTTTCAAAAATGTCAGAATTCATTTCCAGTCAATTATGCCTGTCTTATTAAGCAATGTTATGAATTTTTAAATTTTATAAATCTATCAAAAAAGAATATTTTGTCCAGGTACCCACTGCTGATGGGAGTATAATCTGGCATATTAAGGGCCACATTTGGCATATCTATCAAAAAAGCCCTCTGACCCAGCACGTCTATGTCTTGGACTTGATCCAATCACTACACTTGCATAGAAGCAAAATGATGTACAGAAAGGTTGTTTATTAGGTGTAGCACTGTTTGTAACAGCTCAACCTCGGAAAGCCCTTCAGAGTCTACCAATAAAGGACTTGTTAAATAAATCATGCAACGCTGCTCAGTGGACACCAAGGTATAAACAACAAGGAAACGCTTTATGTGCAGAGACCAAAAGATCTCAAATACAAATATACTTGCTAAATTATAATAAAAAAAGGTAGCAGACATTATATACAGTAGTCTACCCAATTTGTATAAAAAAGGGGAAATACACATACATTTGCTCATATATGCAAAAATATCCTTGAAAGGGTAAACAGGGACATCTACATAGTTATTTGCTTTTAATGCATAGACTCTCTGGAAGACACCAGGAAGCTAACAATACTGGTTTCCTGTAGCCAGAGTGAATAACTGAAGGGTTCAGGGTAGAAGACTTTAAAAAAAAAACAAAAAAAATTTTTCTCTTATTTTAAATTATAACCTATATACAGAAAAGTGTATAAAATATAAACATAAGTTTAACAGAGAAGTAAGGCAGTGAATACTGAGTGACTGTTACCTGATCAAGACAGTGGACACTGCCCCACGCAGAAGCACACCAGGCCCCCTCAATCACTGTCCCCTCCCCACCCCCATGGAGCTGACTACCACCCTGATTTGTATGGTAATCATTTCCCTGCTTTTCTGGATACTCTGACTTCCTATGCAAGCACCTCTAAACAATACTGTTTATTTTGTCTCCTTCTGACCTTCATATGAGTAGAACTGAACGAACTTTTTCTCAGTAAAGATCCAGTCCCTTGGAGCATCTGGGGGTACCCCACGATGGGGGGCAGTGCTTGCACTGTGCTGAGGTGTCCACATGCTGCCATCCCGTGTGCAGAGGACTTAAGACAGTGTCCAGCTGGTGGCATGCCAAGGCAGCCCCCTCTGTGGCTCACCGATGGGCAACACGTCGGATCAGGCAACAGTGAGGAGGTGGTTGGGGATGGATGACTCAGATGGTTTTCTCCAACCCGTGGATGCTTCCTTAGAGGTCCCAGGTCACACCCTTGTAGAAAATGCTGCCACACAGCCATTCTATCCAGAAGAGATGTTCTTTCGGGGCTCCACATGGCTGCAGAGTCCCTACACTCCCATTTAAGGCCACTGTGGATGGTAGTGTAAAAGATGACCCAATGACTGTGAACAGGATGGAGATGCCCAAGCCCCTCCCACGTGCTGCATGTGTCTGTCAGTCGCTGCTGAACCCTGGAAATGGCTGCCCTGCCCTGGGCCCCAACGGGAGCACAGGGGCCTCCGTGGGAACCACCAAGTCACATCTGAAAATGCACCATGTGCTCCCAGACCACAAACGTCCTTGGCACCAGATGAGACCAGGATGGCCCTACCAGGCAGCTGGGGCTGAGGCAGCTCCTTGTAGGCCACCGGGAGTCTGGTCGCAGTGGTGGTCGCGGGGCCCAGGGGCGAGGCGGCAGCTCCCCGACCCGTCATTCAGCCAGACTGGCTCAATGGACCCTTTGACTGACTTCATTCATTCAGCGTCTCAAGATCCATGCACGTTGCTGCAGGTGGCCGTGTGACATTCCGCTGTAGGACTGCAACACAACGTATTAACATTGGTCCATGCTAATTTTGAGGGACACCTGGGTTGCTCCCAGTTTCTGGCTGTCGTGAACAGTCTTTACCTGTGCCCTGGTGCGCACGCGCCTCACTTGTCTACGCTACACCCTGGGAGTGGGACTGCTGGCTGACAGTGTATGCGCGTCTTCAACTTCACCAGAAACAGTCCCTTTCCCAAACCGGCATTCCAGCTTAGGCTCGTGCTTACTGCTCTACGTCCTTTGTCCACACTTACTACCATTGCAATGCTTAACTTTTATCATTCTGATGGGCGTGCAGACGTGTTTCAATGTTTTTTACTCTGATGGCGGTGCCAAGTATTTTCACATGTAGAAACTCTTTGGGCGTCTGCTTTGTGAGGCACATACTCAAGTTTCTTGCCCATATTTCCATTGGGTTACCTGCCTTTATATCCTAGATGCTAGTCTTTTGTCAGTTATATGTTGTGAGTGTCTTCTCCCACTGTCTAGCTTGTCTTTTTGTTTTCTTCATAGGACTCTTTGATGACGTAAAGTCTGTTTTGTGGTGGTGGTGGTATCATTTATCAGCCTTCTCCTTTATGGTTAATGCTTTCTGTATCATATAGAAGAAATTCATTGCTCTTAATCATCACAAAGATAAAAACATCACCTGAAAGCTTTCTAAATTTTATTTTTCATAATTAGGTATTTATTATGCCCAAAGTTATGATTATTATTTTATGTTGTGAAGCAGAAATCCAATTTCCTTTTTCTTTGTGGATATACAGTTGTCCCAGCACCGTTTACTGGAGACCATTCTTTCTTCCTGCTCTGTTATGCTACCTCAGTCATATATGGTGATCATATAATCTAGCATCTGAGCCAGAAAAACTTAAGAGTCAGAGGGCACTGGGGCGCCTGGCTGGCTCAGTCGTTGGGCGTCTGCCTTCGACTCGGGTCGTGGTCCCGGGGTCCTGGGATCGAGCCCCGCATCGGGCTCCCTGCTCCGCGGGAAGCCTGCTTCTCCCTCTCCCACTCCCCCTGCTTGTGTTCCCTCTCTCGCTGTGTCTCTCTCTGTCAAAGAAAAAAGTAAAATCTTAAAAAAAAAAAAAAGAATAAGAGGGCACTACTAAATTATGTCAGGACAACACATATATCCTGGGACTGTCCTGAGCAAACGAGGATACATGGCTACCTCAGTCATAGGACAAGTGCCCATATACATGCATGGCGTTATTTCTGGTCTACCGTCTGTCCCTGCCCGAAGACCGCCTGCCTTAATTAGGAAGCTTTACAAAAGGCTGGAATCTGGGGGAGCAAGTCATTTCACTGTGTTCTTAATCTTCCAGAGGTCTTGACAATTCTTGGCCTTTGGTATTTCCATATAAATTTGTGAGATTCCACCAAAAAAGTGTCAGGATTTTGACTGAGGTTGCATTGAATCTACAGATCAATTGGGAAGAACTGAGGTATTTAGAACACTGGGTCTTCCAATCTGGGAGCTTGGTGAATTGCTCCGTATATTCAGAACTTCTTAGAAGACGGTATACACGAATATTTCTATTACTTTCCTGGTGGGGCGGGGTCTATGAAAAAGGTCCTACAAATTCTTTTTTGTTAGCTTTATTTCCTAAGTATTTGATGTTTTTCGTGCTCTGGTAGAAACCTGAAACCACTATCGAAACTGCTATATGGAAACTAAGAGGAACACACTAATGCTCCAGCAAGGTTTGACTTGAAACAGACCACATTTTTCTCCTTCTCATTCTTGAAGCCATCCCCTCCCCCTCACTTGCTTTTCTGTGGACTCCTTTGTTCCAGGAACTCGGTATCGATACTTAATAATGAGACTCGGATGGCCAGTGCCGACGCTGGCCATGAGACCACCATGGAGACATGATGAACGTGGCTGGTAGGATGCACCAGATTCCTATTGACGCTGCTGGATCCTGTATTTTCCTATGAAAGCCCTGAGCCTTTTACCCCGGGCGGGTCTGCAGTTCTGAAGGCATCAGCCTGCTGCAGCCTCCCTTGCCTGGCAAAGTAATAAACTGTCGTTCCTCTTTATCCCCAAACTCTGTCTTTGTGTTACATTTTGGGCTCCAGAGCATGGAGATCGATTTTTGACAACACACCTGCTTGTCACTGGTACATAAAAACAGGATTGATTTTTGTATCTAATAACTGCTAAATTTTCTTATTAACTCTAATAATCTAGCCGCAGATTCTCCTGGATTTTCCACATGGACAGTTACATCACCCGTGGGTGATAGTCACGCCTTCCTTCCCAGAAAGGGAGACAGTATTACTATTTGAGCAGAAGCCTTGACACCATCCCACTGTCTCTGAGTATTTCCATCAATCTAAAAGTACATCTGGAAGGGTCAAACCTCAAAATCTTAATCAGGCAAACAATTTAGAAGGGACTTAAAGGGATAATTCCAGGGCAAATGAAGAGGAAACTCTCTGTTGAAATAATGCAAGTTAATTTACACGTTATGTTACAAATATCCTATCAGCCACCTGGAATTTACTTTTAGGATAAGTACTAATTATATGAAGCTAATTTGCAAAATTACCAAGACCAAGACCAAGCATTACTCTTTTTTAAAAAAAATAATACCAAGAGGGAACCATGTTCTATTTTTTCATATAACTTACAGTTAAAAGACTGTGAGCCTGTTTAGAAACTTTACCTCGGTGCCCCCGGAAGTGAAGATAATGTCCTGAGGTTTCCCACATATCATCTTCGCGACATTCTCCCGAGCTGTGTCAATAATGTCCTTGGCCTTCCGACCTGGAGAGACCAAAATGGAAACTCATTAACGGCACTTCACTAAGCCCAATAAACACATGTTTAAAAGAACAACCAGACATGGGGCGCCTGGCTGGCTCAGTTAGTGGAGCGTGTGACTCTTGATCTCGGGGTGGTGAGTTCAAGCCCCACACTGGGTGTAGAGATGAATTAAAAATAAAATCTTTAAAAAAAAAAAAAGAACCAGACACGCAGGAACAACTCTAAGCGGGCAATTCTAAGACGACCCATGTTCCGTTAACGTGAATACATCAGGCCACAACTTAGGAATAAGCTGATGAAGGGGCAGCAGCAAGATAGGAGCAACTCAGTGACACCTACTGAGACTTAGTAAGAGGAGGAAACAAATACGGGGGGCGACACGCGGGAACCCTAAAATCCCCAAAGACGTGGGCTTCCTCTTACCGGATGCTACAGGAGAGGGGAAGCTGTGGCCATCTGCCTTGCTTCCCATTCATCAAGACAGGAGGGTGAAGGGATGAAATAATTTGCTTAAGATCAAGCTGCAAAACAACAAAAATAAGCAAAAAGAATGCTTATGACTCCTCAATACATGGTGCAATGCTGCATCTCAGTGCAGGTCCCCCGGGCACACGAGAGGTCCCTGCCGCAGGGCCAGACCTGCTGTCACATGGGGGCCACGCACCCCAGCTGTGAGCCAGTTCCACTGGCTGGCACGAAAGAAGGGACCAAACTGTATGTGGCAGAGAAAGCAAGGAGCCAGGATGGGAACTGTGACAACGTCAATGGCCCTTCTTACTTGGTCTATAGATCAACAGTCTCCAAAATTTGTTGACTATTCAGCCCTACTTGTAAGGAAAAAAAGTCATCAAATTGCACATTTTCACTCTGTAGTTCAGTGTATGTGAATCACACCTCACTAAAGCTGTCGGAGGGGGAAGGACGCAGAGGGCGCAGACCAACGAGTCCCGGGAACAGAAGCTTCTGGAACACTCGGAATCCCGTCCACTGTAGACAGGTCAGAGAACTGCCAGAAATGACCTTGTGGTTGCTCTCTTCATGTACTTACAATTTATATTTTCAAAAAGGATCTAATGCCACTTGAAACAAAAGTGCATACTCAGGGAGATTAGAATATGAATGGTAATGAGATGCTGTCACTGGATTAGTGTTCAATCTCTGGGTCGGGACGGTGTCCTCGCTCTTAGGAGACACCATTTAGGTATTTAGGAGGGAAGCCTCCTGTTTGCAACTTACTTTCAAATGATTCAAATAAATGGGGCAAAGTAGTAATAATTGATAAATCCAGGTAAAGGAATTAAATGCAGGTGTTCACTACTAGACTTATTTCACCTTTTCTGCAGATGTTACATTCCAAAATAAAACTCTGGCACAAGGAGTTAAAAAAATAAATCAACCCATGAGATGTGTGCTGGCAATGGTTCTCTCCCCCACCCCAAGGTACTAATTCAGTCTTTATCTTTTTAACAAGTAATGCCCTCAACTGAGGAAATCGGTTATGTTCTGAATCCAGAGCAGGACCTTCCTGTCATGTTCTCAGGTTTGCGGATGGCACGGTGATGGGACAAAGTCCCTTCTCTTTCGCACATACAGGTGTTTCCCCGTGATGGGGAAGTACCACGCTTCCTGCAACTCATTCTCCAGGGCTCATGAAAAAGCAGTAAATTCAGAAAGAAAGAGATCAAGGTAATATGGCAACACTGTTGGATCTAGGTAGGAGACACATGGGTGTCTATTTTCTTACTCTTAAATTTCCAGGATGTTTGAAGTTGTTAGTGTAACTAAATGTAAAGGATGGTTGGTAACTGTAACTGACATAAGAGAAGACTCTGAACTCCTGCCTTTCAGGAAGCAAGAGGGATAGTAAGGGGCATGTGTGGCTCCCATGATCCATTAAAGCAACCCTCCTTCACTCGGCTGTTCTCACACCAGAGCCCCTCTACCTGCCCCCCGCAACGGCCCGTTTCTCCATTCCCATCTCTACCCCTCTCCATTCCCTCTTGAACTCACTGGCAATCAGGTACTCTGGTCCCTGGCCTCCCAAACCTACTCTGACCAAGGTCCCCGTGTGCCAAATCAAGGTCCCCGCCTCCTCCCTTGCCAGCAGCTCTCCCCTTGGTCCACTCCCTCCTCCTCCGAGTCCCTTGCTAGGCAGGGCTCCAAATCCAGATGGCGGATGGCCCCGCACCCTGGCCAGGTCCTCCGATCCTCCCTCCCTCAGCAGCTCAAGACTGAATAACCAGCACCGTGCTGCAGACTCTACCGTTCCACCTGGGTATCCAATAGGCATCTGCAACTACACTTACTCCAAGTTGAACAATGATTTCTCCCCCAAACTTGTTCTTCTCAGCCTTTCCTATCTCAGTAAATAAATGGCAACTCAGTCCTTGCAGGGGCCCGGGGCCCAAAGCTTTGGCTTTTGCCTTTCTCATACCCTGTTATCCAACCCATCAGCAGATCCTGTAAGGCTCTGCCAGCCATAGCTGAGTCAAGGCCACCGCTGAAGTATTCTCCTAGAAGGCTCCCAGCTCCACTGACACCACTGTGGTCCACTCGCTAGGCAGTGGCCAAAGTAATGCCCTGAAAACCCAGTACATTTTGTATCCTGTGCCTTATCCCTCACCAGAACAGTGCTTGGCAGGCAGTAAGTACTCAACCAATACTGGTTAAATCAGCTGTTCTCAAAATGTCATCTGGGGAGCCCTTGGGGCAGGGGCAAGGCACTTTCAGGGGTCCACAAAGTCAAATCAAGTTTCATAATAACGCTAAGACATCATTTGTCTTTTTATACTCATTTTCTTGAAAGTATATAGTGAAGCCTTCCAGAGGCTACATGATGTGAATATTGCAACAGACTGGATGCAGAAGCCTTAGCCTGCTTAAGTCCTTGTGCTTAAGCTACTGTTAGGTGGGGGTTTCTGTATCTCACAGCAAAATGACACATTTTCCATACTTGCTCATACACAATTTTTCTTGAGGGTTGGGTATAAGAAACAAAGAAACCATACTGCACATCAGGTTTCGTAACACGCTTTTCCCACATGAACTGGATGCTGCTAGATCACTGACCTCGTCCACACCGTGGCTCTGGCAGGGCTTCAGCATACTCAGTGTGGTCAGTCCCTGGCTGACGGACACTGCGGTTACTGCCAGCTTTTTACTATTACAAGCAAGGCTGTGATAAACATCTTGGGTAGCTACACTCTTCCCATATGTCCTTAACGTTTTTCCCTAAAATAAATTCTCCCGAAGGAACTATTATCATTATTAAATCATAATATTGTGAAACTAATTAAACCATTCTATCATAAAGGTGATTTTCTTTCTTTTCTTTTTTTCTTTTCCTTCCCCTGCCCCCACTTCTGCCTGAGTATGAACAAGTCAGCGGCGATGCATGCTTCACTTATGGGTCTTAATGAAACGAAGGCTGCCAGGACAGGTGGAAAGCCACGGACAGGTTTCATCAGGTCAAGACGGGGAATTTCTCCTTCAGGGTTATTCCTAAACTTCTTTATAAGAAATGTTTTGTATTAGCATTTAATTGTCCTCCATATTCTCAAGATCAATGCATCAGAAAGTACAGTTTTGCTAGAGGAAAAATTAGATACAAGGCAATGTCCAGAAGATTAGCCAGAATACACGTAACGAATAAACCCACAAATAAGTTAATGAATGACTAGTACCTGATTTTGAAAAAGCTTTTAGTTATCAAGTTGTGAAGCTCATACCAAACAGATATGAAAACCCATGAAATCCTGTAAAGTTGTATATAAGTATTACTAAATTCTAGGGCTTGGCAACAGTGTCTGAAAGCTCTTTTAGCTCCTCATAATCCACAGTTAAGACAGTTTATCTTAATTATCTCTGATAAGTATTAAATAAAAAAGGTACAACTAGCTGGCCATCTGAAAAACATAATGTAACTGTGACAGTGACATAAAACTATTGATTTGGAGCAAATCATTTTCCAAAACTGCCAATTTAAAGATCTACATTAAAACAAGAATAAATGAGAAATAAGAATACTTTTATTATAATGAAAATAAAGAATCTAAAAATAGTTTTCATTAAAAAAAAAAGGCCAGGATTATATGCAATCCTGATGATTTAAAAGATCTATTTTGTAAATTTTTTAAGGATCCACTGAAACAGATACATGAAAGGGTTTTAATGGGTACTGTTACTACAAATAGCCCTTAACAAGACATCTTTTTCATCTGGGTAAGGGGGATGGGACAGTGTATTAAAAATGAAAGGTTATGGTATCAACAGACTCAATGTCCAAGTTTGGACTTTTCTGAAAACCAACCAGCCAAAAATTACACCTAAGGTTTGCAGCGAACAGAAAATCTATTCAAAAGCAAGTGATCACATGTGGTGTACAATTTCTCTAAGACTGCCTCTGCCCCCCATATCTCCGGATCTGTGAGTACCTTCTAGGATTACCTGCTGGGTAAGGACTGCTGGGATTTCCCCAGGCTTCCCTCATGGCCTCGGTCATGGCCTGGATGACTTCTGGCTCAAGGGGGGTGGTTGCATTATAGTCCATGTAAACTTTCCTGCTGGAAAGAAAACACAGACAATGCCTATTAAGGACAAGGAGATGGGGTACGGAAGCACAGCTGCAGTCTGTCAGCTCAACAGAGCAAATACTGTCAAGGTCGGGGTGCTCCCATGCAGAAACACCATGCAGCCTTCCACAAACTGCACTTGGACATCTCCAAATCATCATGAATTATGGAAAAGGTAGGCATAATTTCCAACAATCTAGTATTTGCTACCTTCCTTTATAATCGCTAGACCATCCATTTAGATTTTCAAAATTCTTTCCACCCTTGGTAGGATCAATGGCCCGCTGAGCCTCGAAGCCTACACGACCGCTCTGAAGGACAGACCTGCTCCTCTCCTCCAGATGGAAGGACGGGGCAGCGTGCGTGCCCAGCGAGCCGCACCTTCCTGAGGGCTTTCTAACTTCATGGGTAG